ATATTTATGTTCTTTAAAACAAAAAAAATTACTATTATTTTAAAATAAATTATAAATAAAAATGTTCATTATTTTACAATAATAAAAATAATAAATAAATAAAAATATCTTCAAATGTCTCTTATTTAATAAATACTTATTTTAATACCTCAGTTATTTAGTTAAATTATTATTATTATTATTATTATTATTTATCTTGCAAAATTATCAATAATATTTGGAAACCCAATATTTAAACAATCCTCGATGCAACTTGTACATCATACATGGTGGGTGTTATTAAAAGGAAAAACTTATACATGGTTGTTAGGAAATCCAAATCAAGGTAAGGGAAACACTTATAATTCCCTAATCGTAGGTAGCTTAGTGTTTTTAATTTGCAATTGAAATTAACAATGAATCTTGTTTATATGATTAATTAGCACGAATCTACAAGGTTAATACAAAAGGTTCAAGCTTTGATGCGCCTTAAAGCAAGGTAAGCCAATAATCTATATCCAGCAAACATCAAAATCATGACACCAACACTCAACCCTGGGCTAATTTGCCCTGCAATGTCTTGCTCAATCAGCTTGCAACTCGCCCCATCCCGCCCATAGCGCGAACACCCCAAAATACTAAAGATTTTCTGACCCCTACCGTACTGGACATCAATAAGCAGTCTGTATGTATAAAATGTAGTAGAAAGGTACCTGATCCAGACCATACAGGAAGGTACCTTGTGCACGTAAAAACCTCCAGTGAGCACGAAGGCTAGCATTGTCACGGTGACTATGGTGGAAGCCTGTTTGGCATCCATTATTGCTGCACCTAATGCTAGCCCGAGCCCTTGAGAAATGAGGACATATCCAAGGAGAACGAGGAGAGTGAGGAGGAACGAAATAAGGTCAGGTTTCAGTCCAGCCATCCAGTAGGCCATGGTTAGGAAAACCGTGGGGAGGATCAGCTCCATAGGCATGTCTCCAACAATTCGTGCCATGAAATACGAAGACAGTGTGTACATCCCTGAAGCACGTTCTTTCATGAAGATGGCTCGTTCTTGAGGGAATGCAAAGACTGCATTGAAGGATGGTAGAACTCCCCAGAAGATGGTAATGAAGAAAAGGAGGCCAAGACGGTCCTGATGTAAACAAGAGAATTAAATTATGAACTGATTGACTGAAGAACCATATCATGGCAATCACATATTAATCATTGTCAGATATATTGTTAATAGAGAGACTGATGGTATTGATAGTGATTCTGTCTATTACCTGAATGTCCACAAAATCGGAGTGCCACCACATTAAGCCGGAAAGGAGTGCTGCAGTGATCACTTGGAAGACTCTAAGGGCGTCAAAGGACTCATACTTTCGTTCTTTGAGGCTTCTCTGGAAGAGGATGCTGAATTGGTAGAACCAGGTGGAAAGGCTGAAGATGTTGCATCTGTTTCTTTGTTCTTTTCTGGAAGAATGGCTCCCAAAGAAATGCAAGTACTTGGAAGAAATGGGGGTTGTATCCATGCAGGCGGCTTTTACTTTTGGAGCCAACATTGTGTTGTAGGAGTCAAAGAGGGATTGTTTCACGTTCGGCTTCTCTTTTTCGCTGACACTGTCCTGATGGCATACTCCTGAATTATAATGCAAGAACAGACCAGACGGAAGAAGTTTTCAATAATATAATAAAACATAAGGCTAAGTTAAAAGCAGGAATTTATATTGAACAGGAAAAGGCTAGAATATGCAAGTTTCCCTCAATTGTTCTTCGGGACTGAATTAATCAAGGTAACACCCATGGTAGCTAATTAGCTAAGGGCAGTTCAATCAAATCAGGTCCATAACCTCATAAAACTTAAACTCAAGTTGTTAACGGTAATTGGTAGTGATATATCATAATCAGATATGTAATGCAATTAACAATTATATAATCTTACAAATACAGTATTGTGAAATCATAATCACAATAATCTACATTTTGACATGTATTCCCTGTATGCATTATAGCACCACAAGGGATACTAGAAGACAAATTGCCCGTCATACTTGAGTGAGAAATTCAAAATGTCAACCAAAATGTCAACCCCAAATGTCGTAAAAAGATACATACTCAAAATGTCAACTCCATGGCTCACCAATGAACAAAAGAAAAATATCCCTAGAACCTTTAGAATAATATAAACTTAGTTCTCAAAGCAAACATATATATAGAGGGAGAGTAGGGAGCCACTCACACACAAATCTTATACATTACACTTACACAAAATCAAATTACTAAGTTTAGCTTTGGAGTCAAAAACAAATTGCCAAGCATGCTTGAGTGGGAATTTCAAGATTTATAATATTCTTGGAGAGTACATGGACAAAGGCAATTGGTCTAGCTCTCTTCGGAGCAAAAGGTGGAGGCAAAGAAAGAAAAGTCCTCAAAAACATATGGTACTACAAGAAATCTGGATTTTACCCAAAGAGAAATATCAACCACCATTAAAAAGTAAAATTAATCAAACAAAACCATAGAGAATTGATCTAGCTGTATGATGATAAAACCCTCTGGACCACAAAGGACAAAGGAAACTCATAGTAATTTATTATCTTCATATTAACAGTTGAAACAAATAATTAATTAGTAATCAAGAAATATGAGATAGTAGTTTAATGACAAGGGCTTCCTAAAAAGTAATTATAATAAAAAGAGAAGAAGCAAACTAAAGATGACCAGTGTTGGTGGTCAGATGGGAGTCCACTGAAGAAGGTGGTGGTGCTGCCACCATATGGTTGGGCCACCACTTACTATAATTTTTGTGCAATTTTTTTTCCTTTTTAAAATTTTTTATGCCATCCAAAATCTGAAAACCTACTTTATGACCTTCTTTATAAAAGGATGCACGGCTCCCAAACACGTGGTGCTCTTGAAGACATCCTAATTAAGGAGGGAAAGCGATGAGAAAAGTAAAAAAAAAAAAAAGTTTTTTTTAACATGATTACAATTGGAGGAGATAAGAGATAAGGGATAAGAGAAAACGAATCTAAAAAAAAAAAAAACCTCTTTGAAAATCTTGGTCAGATAAATCTACATATTTAACCATTCTTCTATTGGATATATGAAACAAAAATTTGTCAAGATATTACAGGATCGAGGAACTTTAGTCAGAAATCACTTGAGATTTATAACCAAAAATGTTCACGGACTTGGGGAGAAGATTGTTAGCAAGTCCTTGCTTCCAACCAACTAGACTTTAGCCTAAGCAGTACTAACTGACTTCAAAACATTAATTAAGGAATTGAAAATCTCAGCATGTACCAAAAGAATTCCTTGCTGTCACTTATATCCTAAATGTACCGCGAAAACATAACAACTCAAAGGTGATTACTTACACACAAAACTATTGGGGACGGTAGGTTGCCATTGCACTACCACCATCAAAGTGCTTTTCCAATGGAAATTTATAAGATGGTTTCTAACGTGATCAAAGTCGTCATCATCAGTTATAAAAGTCCAACTTATCTATCATACTGTCTCATATTTAGATACTACAATTGGAAAAGGTTGATTATGCGTTTGCCTAATTAAAATTGGGTCCAAAAGATTGGATCGACATGCACACATGGTATGGCAAAATATTACCCTCGTGCAGAATATGTTGGTGGTGATATATCCCACCTTAACATTCAATATTATAAAACCAAATAAAAAAAAAAAAAGAAAAAAAGAAAAGAAAAGAAAAGTAAGACTGTATAATAAAAACTGCAGTCCAAACTTTATAACAGCAAAATTTCATACTGAATTTTCTTCCTAAAAATAAATAAGAGTTAAAATTCTATAACATAATATATGACATGCTTTCAAAAGACAAAAGTTCGATAGAGATATCTAGGGCTTTTATCATGATTTCACTTCTCTAGACAAGTTTATTTTACTTTTCCTACATATAAAATAGAACACGGTTTTCTTCAATTCCATCCATAATCCCATTTAATTTGACAAACAAATTTAAGGATCACAAATTTGTCTTTAAGGTGATAGAGATGACTAGTAACTTCCAGCATTTTACCTTCACCATGGAAGGGAAAGTTAACGAACAAAAAGTTAACTTTGAATTTAAAACGATAGCCCACATATTATATCTAAGACCTCTATTTTCTTGTTACAGAATCAAGATTAGACAATGATAAGAACGTAGCCTCTCACTTCATTAAATTTTGGTTGATATTTTTAGCTATCAATTGTCATAAATTGATGCTGATAAAAAACCTGTCATAAATTGACCAGTTGGGGTGAAATTATTGCATGTACAAAAGATGTATATCCATCTCTATGCATAATGTCCTGTTTGTCGCTGCCTAAATCCTTCTACTAAGAAAAAGTAATTCAATAATATTTTTTGTACAGCTATAGTCCGAGAATTCAATGTCATGGTTACCACTACGTACATGAAAGTGATGAAGAGACGTTAGGTTGCTTTCAGGGGTAATGACTATGGGGTCCCAGGACATTAATTCATGCTATGATCTTTTCTCCAACTTAGTGACAATATATGAAATGAAATAATTCTCAAATATCAAGCTACCCTCTTTAACTGATTCCTCTATTTCAGACAAAATATCTAAGATGCTAATTAAAAAGTTACCAGGTTTTGAGAGGTAGGATTAATTTTGATGTTGTCAACTTCGACTTAAGAACATAAGTATAGGCAAATAAATTATTCGTGAATTCATTAGTTTTGTCGTGAAAAATCCTGTTAAGTAATCAAACAGAGAAATATATTTAATCTTCCAAGCACAAGCTCGGCTATGTTAGGATATCAGTAATATAAAATCCAAAAGAAACAATTCAAAAAATACATTTTCGATTTTCAATTTTTTTTTCCTGCAGCAATTGTAATGTAACCAATAACTAGATATTGAGATGAACACAAAAAATGCACTGTGTTTTATAAGTGTTGTGGGCTCTAAAGAGGATCTTAATTGGTAGCTTCCTTTGAAAAAGGGAGGCTGAAGGGGCCACAGGCAATAGAAAGCTGTGGTCCTGCAGGTTATTTGACTGAGGAAATAGAAAAGATCTCGTAGGTCAATGAAAAAGAGAGTGAAGAAAAAATGGAAGGAACATAACGTATCCCTTCAGTCCACGGTAAAATGACACCTATGCTGTCTACATTGGGAGAATATTTTTTTTCGCTCCACATCTTCCACTACAACAAAATCAACAGATTACGCACGATCCCCAAATCAACGAGACACCATTACGTATCCAATAATCTATTTTTTCCACTATAGTTCCCTTTGAGATATGCAAAAAAGAAAAGTATGATACTCTCCCCCTTTCGATGTATTAAAAAGCACAACAATCGTTTAATTCACTATCCCATCATCACCACCATTTTGCCTAACACTCCCACCACTCCTCCCAAATGTTATCTCTCATTTGTCGAATTTCTTTTCACATATGTATTAGCAAGCAAAAATCACTCGTGACAAGTACTTTTGATATCGAATATAAACAGGTCATCCAAATCGGAGCTACATGACGAGACAAATAGGTCAAAAGGATATGCTAGTGGTCACAGGGAACAATAATGGAATACAGGCCTAACTAGTGAAAATTTATTTAAGATGTGAGGAGTATGACTCAGAATTTGGGAAAGTTAACAGGAGGTCAAATTTGCTATACTGAATCAATGCACATATGGCAGCAAAAGGATTTGGAGAAATCTAACGGACAGCACTCAACAACACAGTGTGCCATACTGCCACATGATCTTTGCCCTAATCATGTCTGCACTCCCAAGGTCTACGTATGACTACCTCAATGGCTTACACTATATTGATCTTAATTATTAAGCAATTGTTTAGATAAAAATTAATTAAAAAAAGACAAGGAGACGAGGAAAATAAAGGTGAGGAGAAGTGAAGAAAAGGAAAGATGGATGTTAATTTTGTTTGCATAAATTGAAGTGAAGATGGATAAAGAAAAATATTTTTAAAATTTATTAATTAAATAAATAATTAAAATAAAATAGATATATTTATTTATTTTTAAAAAAATTAAAAATAAAAATTAATCAAGAAAATATAATCCTTTTTAATTCCTTCTTTCTAATTCCTCCATATTGAAAAAATTAAAATCAGAAGAGAGGAGCTCCATCTTCTTCTATCTGCTTTATTTTTATTAAAATTATTAATTCAAACAACAGTACTCTCTCCCCTCACTCTCCTTCCCTTCCCCTCCAACTTCCATAATCCAAACAAACTGTAAAAGCTTTATATCCACTGCATTATGTAAAGAGCTTAATTTCATCATCAGAAAGATTGATTGTTACCACCGGAAGTAATATATAAATTAAGAGCATGAAAAAATTTGGAATTAAAGCTGACATACCGTTGGCGAGATCAAGGAGGAAATCCGCAGGATTCATGGGGAAAGACGGCGAGAAACCAACCGATTCGAAGAAAACCATAGCTTCACTACCTTTCCCAAAGTACAAGCTCCTCCCTTCGCTCATCACCAGCACCGAGCTAAACATCTGGTAAACCTGGCTCGACGGCTGGTGCATGGACGTCACGATGGTTTTCCCCTTCTGAGCCAAGCTTCCCAAAGTCGAAACCAACCGGTGCGCGGCCGTGGAATCTAAACCCGAAGTGGGTTCGTCAAGAATCAACAAACTAGGATTTATCAGCATCTCGTGGGCTATGCCGACCCTCTTCCTTTCTCCCCCCGAAACGCCCCTGGTAAAGCTGTTTCCGATAATGGTGTTCTCGCATTTCGTTAAACCCAATTCCGATATCACCGACTCAGCGACCGACGCCTTCTCCTTCCTAGACAGAGTGTTGGGAAGGCGGAGGAGGGAGCAGAAAACCAGCGTTTCCCGGACGGTGAGGTGTGGGTACAGAACGTCGTCCTGCGGGACAAATCCGGTACGTCTTGCCGTCTGTTTAGTGGGTTTTTTGTTGTTGGCAAGGACTGTTCCAGTACAGCCGCGTCCATGCATCCTTCCCGCCAGAACATTCAAAAGCGTCGATTTCCCACTCCCCGAAGGGCCAAGGACGGCTAAGATTTCCCCCGGTGACACCATACCCGTTACATTGTTTAGGATCGTTCTTTCTTGTATCACGGCCGTCGATCCTTGATCGGACGAGGTGGGCCCATGAGTGAACCAACTCTTGATATTGCCTTCTCCGTTGTTCTTCATCTTCACTCGGTAACATATGTCAATAAACTGCATGAAGAAAATAAATTCAGAAAAGAAATTTAAAAGGTCAAAGATAGTCAAAGCAAATCAGAAACAGTTGACTCATGTGATCCGTACACACTGAACAAAACTGGAACGAGGAGTACCTTGAGAGTTATGGGATAACAAGAAGATAATAAAGAAGGTAAGTCTCCCGAATATCGGGAGGAAGTTTTGGGTTGATCAGGACCGTCCAGTGGGTCTCTGTTGGTACTGTCTACACCGTTCATTCCAGACATTGTTTTCTTGTTTTCCGGGAGTAGGAGGGAAAGTGAGGGAAAGGAAAATGTAAAGAAAGATCAATGGAGGTGAGGGGAAAGGACGGGGGAATGTATTTATGCTAGCTCGGAGACGGTGGGAAGTGGGTTCCACGTAGGCCACAGATAAATGTGCGACGTGGCAGGCAGAACGGATTTCCAGCTGGTAAATTGGAAAGATAGGTTCATGGAAAGTAGTGTTTGCAACTGTTAAGTACCGTTGAGTTTCCTTTTCAGATATATTGTTAATTTAAATATTGATTTTGTTTTATTTAATTATTAAAAATAATTAATGATTATAATTAATATTTATCATACATAATTGGGTGGACGAAAAAGCATTCACGTATAATGTTGTTGGGTAATTGTAATGGTAAGATTTTTAATTATTTAATATTTTAAAAATATATAAGTTATATTTAATATATTTAATATTTATTTTAATTAATATTTTCTATATTTAAAATAATAAAAATATA